CAACCTGAACTTAAACGTTTCCATGGATGGAGCCTCCACCACCTCTCTGGGTGAGCTGTGCTGGTGTTTCGCCACCTGCACAGTAACGAACTTTTTCCTGTCATCTAATTCCAACATCATCTACTGCAGAGACCCTGAGGACACACCAGACACAGGCTGGGGCCAGGGAGCACTGTCCTTCCCCTCCAAAGCATCGACCATCCTCCAATACCCAGGGGTGAGTCTGTCCCCCCAGCCCAGAATCACATCTCAGCACGGGGTGCACCAGCAACAGAGAACCTCCTGGACCACGCTGCCCCCCAGTAACCCCGCAGCCAATGCTGAACCACGACAGCCAACAGGGAATTGCTCCTAGAAAGGAAAGTGGGGATACTCACTGGCTGTACATTTTCACCCTGAGCCTCAGGAATCCCGGCACACCTCTGGGCCCCTGCGCTGGGTATTTATGGGGCTCCAAGCATCAGCGAGGGGAGCCCCGTGCCTGAATCCGCCCCTGTCAGCCAGCGCACGCTGGGAACAGAGTGGGCTTTCACCACAGAAATCCTCCCAGGGCTTTGAGAGATTTTTGTTTTGCCTCTTGCCACACAAAAAAGGGCTTTGAATGTTTTTCTGAGACCTAAATTCTTCCTGAGCAAAAGTGATTACAAAGAGGGAAGAAAAAAAAACAAAAAAAAAAAAAAAAAAGAAAAGGGAAAAAGAAAGAGACCCAAAGGGCATGAAGCTGAGCGTGCTGGAGCTGCACCAGGCACTTGGCCCAGGCCCTCAGCTCTTCACCATCTCTGCATCGTAGGGAAACCTTCCTGGCTCCAACACGGTCTCTTCTCCCACATAACAAGTGATAGGACAAGAGGAAACGGGCTTAAGTTGCTCCAGGGAAGGTTTAGATTGGACATCAGCAAACATTTCTTCACGGAAAGGTTGTCCAGCCCTGGCACAGGCTGCCCAGGGCAGGGGTGGAGTCCCCATCTCTGGAGGGATTTAAAAGCCGTGGAGATGTGGTGCTCAGGGACACGGGTCAGGGGTGGGCCTGGCAGCGCTGGGTCAGCAGTTGGACTCGATGACCTTTTCCAATTCAAATGATTCCACAATTCCTACCTCCTGTACACATCAGCCACCAGCTTTTTCGTCCATCTGGGCTTCTGCAAAAGACCATCTCTGCAAGCTTCAGCAAGTTGGTACAAGCACAGCAAGACAAAAACTCTACCTACCAGCCAAGAAAGACTCAGGGAGCAGCATCATCCGTCATGGCAGCTCTTCCCATCGCTGCCCATCAACATCTGCTCCCAGCCATCGCTCCTCCCGCTTTTATTTAGTGTTTCAGTACAGTGGCACATGTCAGCACCTCCCGTTGCTGTGTAAGGCAGATCGTTTGCGACTTAGTGCACATGAATCAGTATTTTTATGCTCAAAAAAACCTCAAACTCCACAGCTGTTTGTTTTACAGGCAGCACAGCCAGCCCCAGAGCTGGGCCAAAGATCACTTTAAGAAATCATCTCTAGCAGGAGCAGAGGTTTGTGGAAGCAACAGGGCTGTAAAGAGTAATTTCAAAGGTTAATGAGATTAGAAAGATTACTGCTCTCCCCCTCACGGGCAGGATGAAGATGTTTCATAATACCACGGAGCTTTGGGCACTCTTCCCGTACAACGAGAAGCTGGGCTCTGGTGATCAGAACCGTGGTGGAAAGAGAGAAACGAGACATTAAACAGCCCCCGTGTCTGACCTGCTGCTAGCACGAGTAAGTGAAAGGCCGGCTCCTTTCTGTGCTTCCTCTGTTCACTTCCTCTTTACAAGACAAGAGTGTTTCTTTCTGGAGTGAGGCTTCGTTTAAAGCTTCTGACCGAGAAACAAGATTCCCACTTGAGTCTTCATGAGCTCTTGGACTGAAGTTTCCCATTAACCCTTTGTATTAAACAACCATTAAATGGCAATTTCTCTGCAACAGCATCCTAGCAATAAATATATCCAATGTAAACTACAGTGCAAATTCAAGGCACGAATAACACAGAGAATTTAATTAACCCCAGGCTAAAGACTCAAAGCAGTGTCCTGATCAGTGATGGCACAGTGTCAGGCTCTTCCCAGGCCTATTAGTTTGGACTAAATCAGATTGAATTTAAAGAAGGTGTTTTTTACAGCAAGGGTGGTGACACCTTGGCACAGGTTGCCCAGAGAGGTGACAGAGGTCCCATTCCTAGAAATGTTCGAGGTCAGGCTGGATGGGGCTCCGAGGAAGCCGACTAGGCCACTAATGGTTTGACACCAACACCAAGAACAGCCTAAGACAGCACAGCACCTACCAACGTGTGATAACACTGATCTTCCTTACGACTCACACAATGAAAAAGTTGTTATTGGCACTAAGTAGCACTGCTAAGCACAAGCAGCAGCAGGAAAAAAAATAAAATAGAAGGCTTCCAGTAGAAGATTTCACTGGAGCAAATGATAGCTCAAAGGTTTAAATGAAGTTTAAATTCGTAGCTGTTGTTCCTTTGGAATGTTTTAATTGTCCCATAGCTAGGCAATTTGTTTATTTATTCACATTTTTGTTAAGTTCTGTCAAAGTCTTACAAGGAACATTAAATAACATGGATCAAGAACTGAATAATGAGGGCAGGCCTTTGAAAGCTAAATCCCAAGAAATGCGAGCTTCTCGCCTAATTAGTTGCTTAACTGGAACACATAAATAAATAAAGCATTTACGCAACACTTCACAGGTTGGGAACAACGAGAAGCAAGGGCAGGCAGGTACTGGATTTCAAAAAGCAGATGACTTCAGGCGTTACAGAGGAGGAACATCTGCCACCTGCTATGCAGGTGTAAAAGTTACCTACAGGACATCAAAGTGTTACTAATACAGGCTAAAACTGGGCTCATGGGTTTGTCTGTCACAAAGCCTTCCTCCTCAGCAGGAAAAAAAAGCACCATTACATATTGCAAAATATGTGCTGTGCCAGCTTTAACCCAGGTAGCAGAAAGTGGATTTCCACACTATATACACACACACATGTGTGTATGTACTAGTGTGTACACTATTAAATATAAGATGAAGAAGAGAAGGGTGGATTTGCCTCATTTTTCCAGGGAGAGAAGCTGAGAGAGCTGAAGCGCAGTCTCATAGTTCAGACCGTCACAGTTACGTACCGAGATGTGAAATATAAAAGTCACAATCCTCAGCCAAGGGTCTCATTCCCAACACAAAGGTGCCCGATACAGCACGTAAACCAGTACAAGACCATAAGGGAGTTTTCCCACGAGACGCAAAAAAAGCCAAACCACGTAAAGAGATGAGTAGTTGAGATTTGCTTGATTTTTTAAGTTTTGGTGACTGGTTTTATGACAATTCCTGTAAGAGTCTGCACTTGCAGGCACAGCAAAAATTCAGTTTCTTAAGAATAAGCAAGACACGTCAAAGCCAGAGGGACACACAAGGAGTGTGCATGATAACCAAACTAGGTAACAGACGAGCAGAAGAGCTCAAAGAGCTCACGTCAAGAAAAAGCACTCATCTATAAAATACCCAATTCCATAAAGCTCAAAACTGCTTAATAACAGAAATCCGGTCCCCAAATGAAGACCAAGAGGGACTTCAAATGTACCTTCTTCTGCAGCCCAACGCTGGCAGCGCACCCCTTCCCTCCTGCTGCAAATACAGCCAGAAGCAGCAGAAAGATCTCAAGACTTATCTAGAAGCAATATTACAACTGAAGCCTTACATGGAGCCAAACTCCTCACAACATAAACCAATTTCAAACACAGAACTGCTTCAGTGTATAACAAGGCATGGATTGTGATGGGACGAGCTTAAAGAAACCTTTAACCCACGGGCAGCATGAAAGTCCAAGGCAGTGAGAAGCCCTCCTGCGCATCACGGCTTGGACACGTGTCACAGCCCAGCCTAGGAAGCTCAGGCACGGCACGAGGACGACAGCGAACATTCCAAAACCTGCCACACACATACATGGCTACACCCTGGTAAGAGGAAAGGGATTTCTCCCCCCATTAAATCTCATTTAAAATTCCCTTGAGCACCCAGGCTTTACCTTTGTGGTGTTTCTTTGGGAAAACAAGCAAAGGGATTTCAGGCTTCTGTTTCTGATGGATGCAAACACCAAGCCCATCACCAAACACCAACAGCATTCACGGCTGGTGACGTTTCAGCTTTTTGCCTGGAGCACGTCTGTCTAAAAATTAAGCTGAGATGCACTTCATGAAAACTCTCTCACAGAATTACTTGGGCAGATTTACACTCTCGTGGGGAAGCCTTGGCCCCAACAGAATTACTAAGCAAATCCCTAACTCCAGAAGGAATACCAGGAAATGTGGAGTATTCTGCCTCAATTTGTTATCACTTCACACATCATCCATCACTTGTATTATTTTGAGAAGCATACCAATAGAGCCAAAATAAGTCTTCCAAAGTGTCAGAAATATACCAAAAGACTTTTAGTATAAATAATAAAAGAAAAACATAAAAACCTTATGTGAATTTTACAGATGAGAGGAAAAAAATAGTATTTTACAGAGTCAGATAATCATTTATTTATGGTGAATTTCTAGCTCCCTTGGAAACAACAGAACCAACTTTTAAATTAGTCCCAAACTCAAAGAACATAATTTTGTTTAAAGACAAATATTTTGAGAATGCAAAGAAGGCACTTATTCACAACATACATTTAAAGAGTTACAATATGCATATCATTAGTTTCCCACATCTAAGTTTTTGGTTACTAGTAGCTTCATACTTACGTTCACATTTCTTTTACTGAGCACAATATATTGCAATAATTTGTAAACAGATAAATATTTCTCTTGTAGCAGTCATTCAAGAATTATCTACACACACACAAAAAAGTTATTTTGGCACTTTTCAACACAGTGTCCATGTAAACATTTCTTCCTTCGACACACGCAGCCATCAAATTTCTGCAGTAAGTGCCCTTTGGTAAATCATCCCTACAGACATCCATCGAGTAAATAAGCAGCTGAAGTGTGGTAAAATTAATATCTTAGGCTACGAAATCTTGGTTTTCTCAAGCTAAGCATTGGTTGTTTGATGGTAGGTTTGTTCTCCAGTAGCATGGCTTCATTTTCTGTAGTTGGAAATCTGTTCTGGTAGATTAGAGGGTATTCCTTCTGAAACTAGGAAAGAATAATAAACAGAATATCAGGATGAAGATGAGCAGGGCCATCAGCACGTAACGTAACTCTGCTGCAACACTTGACAAGCTGCAGCCCTTTGTGCTTGTGTTTTATGTAACTGGAAGTTAAGATTCAGCACGTTTTGAAGGTGTTCTCTCGGGAAAGCTGACTGCTTAACCAAGGGAGTTGTTTTTCAGTTCCTGCAGATGTACAATTAAGCAAAAATATCTGGCTTCAGAGTCATGTTTTTGACATTTTGCTCGTTTCCTTTGCAAGACCTCAGGAAGGAACAACAGTACAAACAGCTATGCATCAGGCAAAGGTTTCTGCTGATGGATTCAGCCTACGGAGACTGACACCATTTGTCATCTTTGGTGGCGAGAGAAGTCAGACCTAACCCTCTAGAGTCACAGAATTGCCCAGACAGGGAAAGACATCTAAGATTGAGTCAAACCATTAACCTAGCACTGGTAAATCCTCAAATAAGCCACATCCCTGAGCACTCTGTCTACAGGACTCCAAGTGCCAGGTATTTGGCTTTCCCCAATTCAAAGTATCAAAACTGAATAGTTGCTGCAAGAAATTGATTTCTCACACCACTAGTTCTCCCAGCACAAATGGCAAGACTGTAACAATATAGCTCTGAAAATTTTAAAAGTAAACTTTGCTAACAGGTGGCCCTCACAGCACAACCTGCTTCTGGAGTTTGGTGGGAACTCACCAAAAATTTCAGTGTGTGCTTCAAGTTCTCCTATTTCAGGATTTAGATTTTATTTCCTTCCTCCCCACTTCACCTGCTTGAAGTGCTGCTGTGTTACTGCTTACTTACTCCAAGTTTTAAATCGACTGTTAAGTAACTACTCTTCTTTAACAGAGACTTCTGTTAGTGAACAGAAGTCCAGCTTTCTCTTTTACAAGACCAGAAAGTTTTCACAACACATGAAAGTCAGGGCTGCAGAAGCTGGGGGAGGTACACCAAAGAGAAAGAAATGTGCTTGCTCTGAAAAGCTGCTTTTTCAAATTTGAGTCACAAGACTCACTTAGGAGATTCTAGGACAAGTACAATACTATTCAATCGGTCAGAAATACTTGCCAAAGCTTTTTTGAAAAAAGAAAAAAACCCTCCAGTATTAAATCCCACCAGAACTGCTCTATTTTAGTGTCAGTATTAGGCAATACGTTAGTAGGCCATAGAAGTGCCAGATAATCTTGAGCGATATATGTTGCAAAACAGAAAGCTAAGTCCACAGGAAAGAATATTTCAGAACTGTCAACAGACAGAGCTTGACCTCTTCAAGCCAAAAGTAACCACCACCCCCACCCAAACAATAAAAAAAGAACCTCCAAAACTACTGCTCTTATTGCTATTAGGTTTAAGCCAATCTATAGCATTTTAATTTGTCTGGGCAGTGTGCCACAAGAAGGCATACTAGAATTCTATCACATATTTTACAGAAAGCAGTATCTCACAATAATTTTATCCTGTTTTTTTAAACAGCTGTGTGAACACCACTGGCAGTATCAAATGTTGTATTAGACAGTCTTTAAAATCCCAGTCAGAACACCCAATCAAATAACACTCAGCAGCTCCTTCTACAAATCAAGCATCTCTCTACACAGCCCTCCCTTGCTCTGTATCAGGCTCTAGTGACCAAGATAATTCCCATACAAAGGTGTTTTCAGAAGTAGATTAAATATCCACCAAGTTGCTTGCTTACCTGTTTTAACTTTTTCTTTTTGTCTTTCACAGACAAGCTTTTATCTTTGATAATGTTCTCCAAGAGCTCTGCTACTGCAGCCTGAGAGGTAGAAACCTTCTGCTCTTCAAACTCCTCAGGAGTTATTTGTTTGCAGTACGAGTACGTTGGCAATATGGCAGAGATTTCTTCCTTTGGATATTTGCACTGCAGCAGAGTTGAAGAAGAGGTGTCTGCATATACTCAAACAATTATGCACTATTTCAGACAAACACCCAGGCACAGGAACTTACAGTGACATGACAAGGTGCAAAATGTTGGAACGTAGCTAATACCTATGACTGCACCAACAGATTAATAGAAGTTTGCATTCAAAATATAGTGGGTTTATTTGCATTCTCCCATCCCACCTTCAGATTTAACAAATACTCTGCAATTAGCAAATAAACTTCTCGTGTGCCACCAACCTGGGCCATCCTCACGTGCTCTAGGTGATCTCGCACCGCAACCTGCAGGTAAGTGGGGACTTTAAATATTTCTTGCTGATGGTCCATCAGAAATGAAACTAATCGCATCGAAAGGAGCTCATCAAGATCTACTTCTTCTGCACAGCACAGCACGCACCGAGAAAAGGTCTGTATCATCTGCAAGTGTTTAGCAGGTCATTAGTACGTGCAGTTGTGGAATTTGCCTTTTTACCAGTCTACACAGTGGCACAGCAAATTCTCCAGCATCAACTTTTGCCACCTCTCTTGCCTGCACCACTGGGCAAGAGAGAAGGAAAATTGATTACAATTTTCTCCGGGTCTGAAATAAAGTAACTTCAACATTAGACTTGTACTTTTAAAAACAACTTCAACAGTGCTTTCATACAAGAAATACATATTTTAAACATGTAATAAGAGAAAGCTTTCCTCTGCAGATAAGCATACATGTTCAGTTAGCCATCTTGAGACAAAGGAGATACAAAACCCCACAAAACTCCCCCAAACAAAAAAAACTCCAGAGCCATCCTAACCAAGATCTAATGCACACCAAGGTCCAGTTTAAAAACAGCTTTAAAAAACACTTTTACAGCTTTTATATATCCAGCTTTAGCAGGCTTATCATAAATGAGCACGTGTTAGTACTTTGTTGTTTTACCTAATCTTGTCTGACAAAAATCTCAAGTTGCTCCAGCAAAAGCTTGAATTCAGACCTCGAAGCTAGTCTTTAAACTCACCAGGCAGGCAGCTTGCTTCTTCAGAACTGTTTTTGTCCTAACTTCACACACACAAACGCTTAGCCCAAGAAAGGTTTTCTACAGAAACTTTGCCAACAAGTGGCAGTTGGGTGAGAAATCAGATTAAACAACTATTTGCATTCTTTTAAGAAATTATTTCCCTTCTCCTCCCACAGGAAACAAAAGCAACACCAATAGTTGAAATATTTTAGGATGGAGACAACAAAGTGCTTGTTTCAAAGCCAGATTTTTGTAAATACTTTGGAGATGTTTTTAAAAAGACAGATCATGCTCAAAATTCTCTTACCAAAGACCGCGTGCCCATTGTATCGTGCAGCCGTGGCATATCAACATTTTCACTGATTCGAGAGATCATACGCATTAGGAGCTGAATCCTTCTACGATTTGGGGGTGGAAGCAACAAGCAACATATCTGTAGTGCTTCAACAGCAATTCTTTCTAAATGAGGCTGAAGGAGATCTGCAAATGAAGTGTAAAGTCTCAGGATATCTTTCAGTGCTAGAAATTCAGGTTTTTTTCAGTGATGATAATCTACATTTTGTAGAAATTGGCTATAACACAGTAGATAATGTTACATGGCCTTTCTTGGTGTGGTCTTCTTCAAGATGCTTCTTTATGGTAGCTGGTAGTACAGTTAAGACCATAACAAAATTGGGAAATGACACTGACTCTATTCCCAGAAGTATTTCCAGAAAATGGCTTTCAAAGACCAGAAAGACCTCTCCAACAGGCAGGGCTGTGCAAATTCCCAGGGTAAGGCAACCCTTAAGCCAGTGTCTAGGTCAGGAGTACTCACTACTTACCAGAACAGGAAGGTGAATTACTGACACATCAAGTTTGAGACTCCAAAGACACGACATGCTACTGCTTGTTAGCAGAAGCACAAAGGGCGACATTTAAACAGTGCAATTTAGTAACCAGATTTTTCTTCTTTAAGAAAACCCACCACTGATCGTGTTATACATGTACCCAAAACCCTAGCAACAGTGCCAAAGATTACAGAAGCAGAGATTAGTTAGTCAATACATCAAGCCAATACAACATGCTTTAGAAAGCCATCTTACTTTGCGTGCCAGTCAACATACAAGAGGAGTGAGTGAAAGAGCATTCTGAGAGTTCTGTGGTACTTCTGCAGAGTCTCTTTTTGATGGCGATGTCAGAAACCTCAGTCCTGCTGCCCGCTGCAGAAGCCACACCAGAGGTATTTGGTTTTCCTTGCACACAACGTCGAGGCGTCGGCTTTACTGTGATTTCAGCAACTGGTATATTAACGCTAGAGCAACTTTTGGAGTTCATCTTGCCAAGTAAACTCCGAGAGCCACACATCTGCTCTAATCCCTGATTTTCATTAAGTAGGTCTGTACCCTGAAGAGTTGAGGCAGACGCTCTCCTGATCCCCTGGGGTTGATTTTGACATGTGTTATCAAAATCAAGCTCCAATACAGAATTAGATTTATGTTCACATGGCAGCAATTGTTTTCCACTTCTTCTGCCCAGGATGGTGTTCACGTCTCTTTGTCTGAGGGAATCAAACTCCTCTTTATGATACGCGCTTGAAGCAGCATCTCCAACTTTTTCCAGAGAGTAACACCTTGTCCTAAATGTTCGAGGTGGATCTTGCTCATTCCTGAAACCTGAAAGATTTTGACAACTTCCTCCTATTAGATTAAGAGCACTGCCTTGCTTACACCTTAGTTTATATTGCTGCAATTTCTTTGCATGTTGTTTTTGAACAGTTAGCTCTTCTGCAAAGGACTTCCTGGAAGCTTCAGATTTTGTCTTTTTTTCATTGGGCTCTTTGCGAAGTAGGCTTAGAAGAAGACACTCAGTTGACTTGAAAGAGTTCAAATGAAGAATTTTTGAAGGTTGTGGGACACATTTCTCATCCTCGACAGAATGTTTTCCACTGCATCTATCTGGAATTGTGATGTAGCCACACATAACTATCAGGAAATGAAATATAAGTTAAGATGCAAGTGGTATGAAAATGAACAAGTTCAGACAGAAAGCCGCTAACCGAACAGAGAAGATAACACATAAGACACTAATTTATAGTTGACTGTTAGTAAAACCTAAGAAAAAATTTAGCTTAGTCCAAAAGCAATCTAGCAAGATAATTGTAACCAACATGCAAGAAAAAAGGAAGTTAAGACGCTGCAATAGTGAGGAACAGACAGGAACAAGTGCCCGTTTTCAAGTTATGGTTATCACATATTTAGAATGTTAGCTCAGACAGCAATTTATAGAACATAACGAGACAGAAGCACACTTCAATTAACATTGTAACACAGAATGATCGGATTGATGACTTTCCTCAGATTGAAGCTGCCACAGGGATTATGGGGTCAAGATCTGCTTTGAATTACAAATTTGTTCCCCAGTTGGTATAAACTTATAGCTGGCACTGGTTATTTCTAAGTTCATACATACCTAAAATATTAATAAAAAGTTCATAGTATTCAAAAGTAAGTAATGGTTCAGGGAGATTGAGAAAGTAATCAGCAACCGTTCTGAATACATCCCGTTCAAACCCACTGTAAGTTGGTTGGCTCATGTCATTATTTCTAGGCCCTAAAAAGAGGCAAAAAGAGAAAATTCACCAAAGTATTTACTCTTACAATTCCACTATTTAAAAAAAAATAAATCAAACTAAGTTTGTTCTTCTGGGAACAACTGTTTCACAAGAAAGGAATTGAGTCAGCAATATATAAATATTTCATTTAGTTCAGCACCGTACCACTTATAAGAAAAATCAGTACGAAATATTCTATATAGCTGCTGAGGAGCTGTGCTCAGCTTCAATGTGCTATTCCACACCACGAAAATAAATGAAAACTCATTTATGCCCTTTATAGGTTCCTCAGCAAAATAACACTGAACTCGGTAATTTCCTTTCACATCCAAACTACAGGAACCCCAGCTGTCCCATCGGGAGCTCTAGCACCCAGACCAAGGAGTTCATGCCGTGACCAACTTCAAGGAACGTGCCGAGAACCCAACAGATCCATGTTTCTTCTCACACAGGCCAGAGCTGGGCACTGTCTTCCTCTGTGGGCACCTCCTCTTTTCAACTCCTCTGTTCAGAGGGTTCACCAGAGAAAAGTTTGTTCACTGCGCTACTGCTGTGGTGGATCTTTCCTTCACAAGCAGGCAGACAAATAATCAAATAACCTAAGAGAACTGATTAATAAATCTTGATTATGTTGTTACCGATAAGAAAAAAAATAATCAAATGTGTCCTGAAATCTGATATTGTGTAGATCTTTTAACTCTAATGTTACAATATTCCAAGGAACTCCCACAAATTAAATAAGCTACCTTATAAAGCCAATTCTAATGATCTAGGAGATGGCAGCTTTGATTAAATATAGAATCAGGGAAAATTTACCTTTTGATATGATTAAATTTTATAATCACATCACGACACACACTAAAAATATAGTAAAGCAGTATTCCTTCTGCCAGCCTAAGTAATGTTAGTTTTCACTGTGCGAAGTAACAACCACCTTAATTGTTTGCTTACAGTAAAGCTAGCAGATACAGAGATAAAACCTCTGCTTGAGCTAATTCACTTCGATTAGAAATTGAGAATTCAAAAGAATAGAAAAGTTACTTGCAGTTTTCGTTTCATAAACACAAAGATCTGTTAGTTCACAGAACTGATGTGTGGATCAAGGTACTGAAACACTCAAAGACCAGTGCTCAGCTACACTTTCTACTTCAACTGAAATCCCCTCACCAAGTTGTTCCCTGTCCTGCTTTTCCTAATAGTGCTCTTTATGCAAGAGGCTCTCAGTATCTGGGAATGCAGTTGAAGAGAAAGTCATGTTGAAGAGAAAAAGTCACTTTCACAAAAGCACATGCTGCAAATTGAACTTCTGAAGCCACATTAACCCTGGAGAGACTGGACAACAACTCCACCGAGCAGCTGGAGCTACATGTAGATATATCAACACATTCAACCATGTTACAGCTGGAACAGCTGTGAGGGGAGCTAATGAAGTGGATTGCTGGGAATGGGGGCAAGAGTTAAACTGCCTATAAACATGTATGAAAAGAGCTCATCATCTCTGATTTTGTTGGAGAGGCACTCATCTAACTCCACCATGCTGTTAGTCAATTAAGGAGGCAGTTTTGAATAGTAATAATAAAAAAAAAAAGTCCATTTAATTGCCCTCTGCTTCTCCAGAATCTTTTCAAAGCTTGCTTCATAAAGATGCAGGGCTTGCATAACTGTGATGTGCATGTGCTTGTAGCACGATTTCAAACCCATCTGACAAAGAAAGCCTCAAAGACGGATTTCTGTGAAGTTTCATGAAAATCAATGGCACTGTAAAGGACAAAGACTATTAGCACCACACAGGTCTGCTGCACTACATGCTGAAGAACAAAACCACTCCTCTATTAGCAAGAGAATCCACATCAGACCAAGCCATTAGAAAGTGAACTTTATTAGGTTCACTGTGAGAATACTTCCCACCCCCCATCAGCGTGTGAAAGCCTGTGTTAATTGTATTAGTCCACAGCAAATACTTCCCCAGGAATTCCAAGGCAGCTGCTCAAGTACATGTAACACCGATGCCTTAGGTAACTGATTCTTTTCTTAAGTTCAGGGTCTAACATCCTGCATTTCTAAATTTTATATTTAAGCAAATACACAAAATAAAGACAGAAGGAATCACTTTTAGTTTTGCTGCTGAATATTTCATGTTATTATCAAAACAAGGAATGTGTGCAGACTGACTCTAGGCACACAGACGATGAAACACTGAAACTCCTCTTCTGCTAATTTAACCTCCTCAAATTGCCAAAAATTCATATGCACAATCAAGTTATGCAGCCTAAAAGCCGGGTAACCAGACTACTAAAGGACTGTTCTCCTGGTTACCTGAAATACATCATCTTTAACACATGTTAACTCTTAAGAGTTTACATTTCTGTGCAGTAACTTCATACAGATTGCTTTCATTGCTTCTCAACATACCAAGGTACTTAGATTATTCAAATTTCCAAAACAACACACCACCCTTAATCTTAATGTGCAAGTATGTTTCACTCTTAACTCAAAATAGGTTTCTGGAACACAAAAGCTGTTCAATGACTTACAGTATGCGAGGCATTTCATAGCTGACAACACCCAGTGAGGGAGGTCTTCTAAAATACACAAACAAGTACATTATTTATACTCAACCTGGTTACTAATACAAATAATGTCACACATGTAATGAATATAAAAGATAAAATTTTAGATGATTTTTCCCCTTAGAAGGGAATGCAATACACTGGAAAGACCTTCTAGACAAATACACTGAACTCTAGTTCAGGGAAAAAAGTATAAAAGATAGACCATGAAACAATGTAATTATTTGCTGTTTGTTGCAACTGCACAATACAGAATCTTTAAATAAGACTGGAAAAAAAAAAAGTACCTGATTTGTTCTGCAAAATAACAACACCGTGTTTGCTTGTGTTAGTCATATTGTACATGACATACTCGGGAACTATCTGCTTTGGCTGCAAAACTTCTTCCAAAGATGGGAGGCCTAAAATGGTTTGCAAGCTGTGGGGAGGAAGAGAGCAGATGTCTAAAAGGTTTGCTAGTATTGCATGGACACAACTTCCTTCTATACCTACTCAAACCCCAACTAGTTTGCTGTTTAATAAATTCTTACTTCCAGAGGGGCAATCTGAGGACATACTTTTTCCTGGGACAAATATATATAAAAAAAAAAATCACTAAGGAAGCGCATCTATGGTACTGGGAACATACTTCAACACTGGCAATAATCAATTTCAATAAATTTCTTACATGCAACAAATCAATTTAATAAATACATTAAAAAGTGTATGTAAACAATAGCTCAAAATTATTCAACTTAAAACATAATTTTAAAAATTTCAAAACAATTTGCAAGCCAAGAGCATGATCGAGCCATTATCTACCCAAAGCACATATACAACCGAGTGCTTTTCACACTGTATTACTTACTGTATTAGAATGATATTTCTCCAGGTTTCTTGCACATATTCCTGGCTTATTTCATTCCCATGCAGCGTGTCTTCTTTGTTTTGCTTTATTATACCTGAGTTTGCCTTCTCTAAATTTTCCTGGAAATGAGTGGTTTATACCATAAGACCTCAATTCAAAATTAAGTAGAATTTGCCTCTCAATTCAAAATTAAGTAGAAATTGTTTTCAAAAGTAGAGGGCATTCTGCAGAATGTAAAATTCCAAAACACGACCCAGGGAGCAGCCTTAATAGTCTCAGCACTTAAACAGAAGTACACCCATGCAAAAAGCAAAAAAGGACACTATGAGTAAAGACCTAATGGAGAGGGGCAGTCAAACGACCTTTCTTTCTGCTTCAGTAACACAGCTGCGTTAACATTTTGCCCATCCCCATGTCCCTTCCCAACAAACCTGCTGCCTTTATGAAGTTTAGAAAACAGCTTCTTACAGGTTTGAGAGCATACTTCTGTCAAATGGATAATCCTTTCACTTGCTGACAGCATTTAAAAAATGCCATGTTAGTTGTGCTTGAATATTTATGGGCTATTTAATAAAATTTCTTTTTGTACATGCAAGAAGGGAAACAGCACGTCACAAAGACACTTCATTGTAAGCTACAGTTGCATCTTTCCATTACACCTATATAAATGTTCTATTTCACTGTCAGTAAGAACCTACATGTTCATTTTTTCAGCTAGGAGGGAAGATGACACAACAAAACACTGTCACTAAAAGATAATTACTTCTAGGGTGTGGGGTTTTTTTAAGAATAAAGAAATTACATGGCACCTACAGTTATGTAAGAAACATAAGTCATTACCAGAGACTGTAGTAATTCATGTTTTTTAAAAGGTCTCCTGGATAAATGTAGCAGTTTAGGAAGTCTGTCTTTGTCTCTAGAGAAGTTTTCCAAGTTCTCTTTTGGTGAAGGTGAGCTTGGTAGAGGTTTAACTGGAGATGTTGAAGGAAACCTGTATGAACAAGAGATGTTAAATACATTTAGAATTGTCTAACCCAAACCATACCCTATTAGTGTGATTCCAAAATATTCCAAAACAATTCAGGAAAGTATGAAAAAAATGCGGACATTTTCTCTTTAGAATACTGTTTAACATTATCACACCATAAATTAGATTTGGGCTACTTTTCCTGATTCCAAAGTCAAGCTGAAGGTACTCTGATATTTATACAACACAGAGTGCAGAATTTGAGAAGTGAGGGCCATTAATGCCTTAAGAACTCAGGAAAGCCTGTTTCTCACTTAACCTTTATGTAAAATGTACAAGAGACATAAACACAGGACTAGTAGCACAGCATGGAGCTACTACAAGAAATTCTCCTTGGCTCCCCTCCAAAGCACTTGACTGTAGCACACATTCGTGAAAAACATGAATAAGACAGAAGAATGGAAGCAGCCCTCAGCATACAGGACACATGGTCTATACTGCAAGTCAGAGCAAAGTGAAATGGTAAATAAAATGGTGCTAATAGTTAATTTTTAACCCAAATGCTCAACTCGAGAGAATCTGAGCATTACGATTTTTTTAAATAAACCTGAAGAGCTCTGATCTTCACTTCAGTACCTGTATAGCGCACCATTGTCTTCTAAACTTTCAGATCCCCATCTCCCTTTTATGTCCTCGATTACGTGATTCTTGAGGAACTTTCTCAATAACTGAACAGTCTGCTGCCTGGTAACTTCAGGACCAAAGTTACTGTTATCTCTTAACACTTCATGGAGCCAGTCTACAGCTTCGGAGGCAGTAAAGCAGCTTCCGTGTTTTTTGAAATGCTGCCGGTGTTTTCTCAAAGGCATGCCCGCCCGGAAATACCTCGTGACTTCATTCCACTGCACAGGAAAGAAAACGTACGAGGATGCAAGATTAAAGCCTGAAAGCTGGCAGGTTTAACTATAAATTAAAACTACCATAATAAGTATATGAAAGAACATTAATAGGCACAAATACCGACCGTTATACTCAGTGTGTAGCAGCCTTGATGACGAAAAGATACAATTCAGATTTAAAAAACGCATCAGTGTTTCACGTAGGTTTTTATCTCATCCCTCCACAACTGAAAATAAGGTTGGAGCTCCACAAATGTGACGGGTTTTACTGACCGGGGCCGTTTCCGTCAGCTCCGAGGCGCTGCCCTCAGGCAGGAGCCGGGCCCAGCCGCCAGGGCCCAGAAACGCCGCTTCTGAGGGATTTTTGAGGCGTTTCCCTCCTTCCCCCGCCTGCTCGCATAGCGCCAGGCGCCACACCGGAGGGACCAGGCCTCCTCTCCCCGGGGGGGTATTCTGCCGGGCCTCACGCCGCCTGGCCACCAGCACAGGGCGGGTGCGGGGATCCGCTCCTGTCCCAGAGCGGCCACGTTCCGACAGTCAATGGCTGACAAGAGGGGGCCCTGGGCTGGGGCGGGGAAGGGGGCGCCATCTCTCCTCCCGCC